TAGGTAAATAACCTGGAGTGCTGACTTCCCTAGTGGCCAGATGAGTTTAGATTCCCACCAGCAGTGGTGTACAAGGCTTTGTTTTGTTCACATCGTCACCAATATTTCCTATTTTTTTAATGACTTCTATTCTAACTTGGAAAAGATGGAATCTCAATATAGCTTTAATTTGCATTTCTCTGATGGCTTATGAGGTCAAACTTTTTCCCTATGTTTATTGGCCATTTGTATTTCATTTGTGAGGACTGTATATTCATTGATTAGTTCATATATCAATTAAGTTAAGCTCTTACTGTTTAGAGTTTTTAAGTTCTTTGTATATTTTAGATACTAATCCTCTGCCATATGTACAGCGAGCACAAGATTTCTCCCTTCGTTAGGCTATCTTTTCACTGGATTAATGGTTGCTTTTTCTGTGCAGAAGCGTTTCAGTTTCATGAGCTCCCACTTTTCAGTTGTTGGCATTATTTTCAAAGTGACTAGAGTCTTATTCAGAAAGTCCTTGCCCATATCTTGAGGTATTTTCGCTACTTTTTTCTGTAAACACTTCTGAGTTGCAGTTGTTAAATTAGTCTTTGACCCACTTGGAGTTTAGTTTTGTCCAGAGTGAGCAACAAAAATCTAGTTCCATTTTCCTACTTGTAGATATTGTTTCCCTAGCACCATTTGTTGAAGAGCCTATCTTTTCTCCAATGTATATTTTTAGCATCTTTTGCAAAAATCAGGCGGCTGAGGCTCTGTGGATGTATGTCTGGGTCCTCCATTCTTGTTCACTGATCAGTATGTGTTTTTGTGTCAGTACTATGCTGCATTTTGTTATGGCTCTGTAGTGTAACTTGAAATCAGCTATGGTGATACCTCCACCTCCACCACCACCTCCACCTCCACCACTACCACCACCACCACCACCACCACCACCTCCACCACCTCCACCACCACCACCTCCACCACCACCTCCACCACCACTGTCATCATCATTATTGCTCAGGATTGGCTATCTGGGGTCTTTTGTGCTTCTGTATGAAAATTTAAGAGTGTTCTTTCTATTTATGTAAATAATTGTAACTTTGATAGGAATTGTATCTGTATCTCTTTGGGAAGTATAGCTGTTTCCACAACATCAATTCCTTCAACCTATGAGCATAGACTACCTTTTTTGTTTGTTGGTTTTGGTGTTTTTGAGACAGAGTCTTCTTATAGCCCCATCTGGCCGGGAACTCACTATGTAGACCAGGTAGGCCTTGATCTTACATAGATTCACTTGCTTCTTGCCTCCTGAGTGCTGAGATTAAAGGTGTGAGTCACCATGCTTGACTTTAATTTATTTTTATTTTAAGGGTATGAATATGTTGCCTGAATGCATGTAAGTACACCACGTGCATGCAATGCTCACAGAGGCCAGAAAAGAGTGTTTGATCCCCTGGAACAGGAGTTATGGATGGTTATTAGCTGCCATATGGGTGCTGGGAACTGAACTCAGGCCTTCTGCAAGAGCAGTCAGTGCTCTTAACTGTTGAACCATCTCTCCAACCCACTAACACAACTGTTTAACAACCACATACCACCACCTGCTCAAAAACTAGCTACATCAATTCTTTCACTTCCAGCTGGTACTTGGCATGTTCTAGGCTGTGAGCGACTCATTGAACATATGGAGATGGAAGACATGACATTCATGTTGGTGACTTGTCACAGAAGGGTTAGTCTTGGTTTTATTTTTTTTTTTAAAGTCTCTGAGTATTTTATAATATTATCATGTTTCCCATGAAGGCAGTACCAATACACAGTGCAGATTTGAAAACTATTCTAAATCTTCATAGATATTTTTATATGCACAGAAACAGATGTGACAGAGGCAGACTGCTTTTCATTTCAGATAAAGCTTTCTGGAATGCTGATTCTTAGAGGGTGGTATGGTATGTTGGTGATTATAGCATTATTAGATTTGTAGCAGAAATTGTCATTTCATCAATTTAACCAATGCCGTTTCCTCCATGGTGAGTAGCAGACAGACAGACAGAGCCTACACTATGTTAAATAGCCCTATTTTATTCTCTTTCTACCATGAATATGTTCGTGCTCTTTCTTTCAGTAGAACATTTCTGAATGGGCATTGACATGAAAGACACAAGGATCTGCCTATTGTAAACCTGACTGAATTTCCAGTCAACTTCAGGGAAGTAGCATTTTCTTTCTACCTCACTGGTTAGAACCTGGGTCCCCATGAGGCTGTCCTGGAAATTCTTCTGACAGCTTTACTCAGAATCCCTTACTTGGTGAAAGTGGTCAGATTTAAGATAACATCAGACAATCATTTTCCCAGGATTCCTTGCAAGGATTCCATTTTGATGAGACACTCTGAGCCCTTCATTGGGAATCAGACTGTTTCGGATCTCTTAGATAACAAAATAATCTCTTAGGTCTCTTTTCCATATTTTAGGGGGCTGTCTAACCCAGAAATATGGCTTTTTACATCATACAGGAAATCTTGGGGTGTTGGCTTTACTGATGAATTTTAATATCATATGTTTGTCACACCTGAAGCCAACTACCCTCATCTCCAAGAACGGGACTGAGAAGAATGCATGTAGTGTACACTGGTTGACGTTAGAAAGCTTATGTCTAAGGAGATACTTAGATATTCATGTTCGTTCCCTTGGTGGGGGGGGTTGGAGCTCATGATGGGTACTTGACACTGAAGGCTGCAATTGCCAAGGAAACCAAGATGTTTCCTGCCTTGTGATGAACACTTGGATCTGACAGCAAGTGTATTTGCTTCTCTACTGGGAAAAGTCCACACCAGCATAACCAACAATTATCAGGAACTTGTTCAGAGAAGCTTGTCAAGTTAGTCATCAATTGATAGCAGATACATCTATTTCGCTGCAGGAATACATGACAAGAAGAGGGGGCCATCCTGTGCCAATGCAACGTGGCAAATGCTGACAAATTCCAATTTCTCAGCTTGTTGCTTGCTTTTGGGTCTGTACTGCCTTCTGGTCACCACTGTGGCCCAGTTAGGCTTGATAAGGGTAAGTTGAAGTCAGGGGTTTCCTGGCGCTACCTTTTCTTCAAGCAAACAAGCAAACTTGGGTTTGTCCATCTGTCCATTTCTATAGTGCAAATTCTCCCAGAATTGCTTGTTTCTGCCATCATGTAACAACTGACTCCCTCCAAATTCCCGAATATTTTACCACCTGCTCTTAGAATCTGTACAAATGCACCACTGGCAGTTTTTGTACTGGTTGCAATGTAGGTCTGGAGTTGTAGCTAGGCTTTGATGGACCCTTCAAATGGAATCATGACACATTAGTAAGCCACCTCTTAAAAAATGCTATTTTGCAGATGGCTGTGTTCTGTTTATGCTGAAACTTGGTATTAGTTGATCATTTGTGTTACTTAACAGCCCTTAACAGCACTTGTGTGTGTGTGTGTGTGTGTGTGTGTGTGTGCGTGCGTGTGTGTGTGTGTGTGTGTGCAGATATGTGTGCACTTATGTATGTGTGAATGTGGATACCAGAGGTTGATATTGGGTGCCTTCCTCAATCCATCTTATTTTTTGGGGCAGGGTCTCTCACTGAACCTGGAACTCACCAGTTCAGCTAGCCTGGCTGTCCAGAGAGTTCTAGAGAGCCGCCTGTCTTTGCCTTCCCAGCACTGGGATTATAGGTGTGTACTTCACACTGGACTTTTTCCATGGGTGCTGGGGATTCAAACTCAGGTCTTTATGCTTGTGTGATAAGCACTTTTTACAAACTGAGCCATCTCTGTAGCCCCCAACCCTCCTTTTATTGACTCATGGGCCCAAGGGACTCTTATGATCATCTCTTAATTCCATTTTCTTTCACACAGGAAAAGCAAGCCCTATGGACAGCTCGGTGAAGACAGCATAAACAGAGAAGAAGGTGTGTGTGAACACGACAGAGAAAATACATTTGAGAAATAGTGTAGGGAGAATGAAGTGCGAGAGGAATGACAAAGACCTGTTTTGATATTTCAAAGTGGATAGTGACACAAGTGAAAAGATGGCATGCCGCCCTGGTCTATGACTACAAAGCCAGAGCAGTTTGGATTAACTCTACTGTGTATAGGCCTCATTTAACTGAGCTGCAGGCAATGTCTGGAACCATGTTAAGACAGGTACCCTTCATGTCAATGTCACAGCCAGTGTCATGGAACCACTTTATTCTCCACTGAAACTCTTGCTTCCAACTACAAAGGAAGTTCTATTTACAAATATCCTAGAGGCAATAGCCACCTTCACACACCATCCTTATTACTATAGACTTAGCCTTAGAAGTAGTGCTTGGAGGAATTCTAGAACTGTTTCACTAAATTCATGGAAATGAAGCAGTAAGAAACAGTAAGTTTCTGTACTTTAGGACACAAGGGAATTTCCTTGAAGAAATTGGTAGAAGAGAAGGAATCTAGAATGATGAGCTGGACCCCAGAAGACAAAAAAAAACCAGTCCTGGCTGTCAGAAGTGAGACGAATTTAGAGTGTGTGTGGAGATGACTACATGGCTCTCCCAGGTCTTTGCTGGAAGTCTAGGTTCTCGGGATGGGAACATTCATAGCTTCTTCACTAGGTTTCTGTTCAAACACTGAGGTCCAAGGGACACCTCTGACAGCCCCCGAGGCTATCCAACTGATGTCATCTCCTTTGGAAATCATAGAATCTTGTGATTACAATATGGACCTGGGAATGTCCTGGAGACTCAGAGGTCAAGTTCATTTCAAATATCTATGGAAGTTTTCCCATCATTGTTGATGATCTCATGGCTGAAAAGTTTGAATTTTGCTAAGAGCTATGAACATGGAATAGCTTTAATTAAAGAAAAAGATACTCAATAATTGTTGGCTTGACATTTATAAGACAATAATTTGGGTAAAATCATATTCCATGAGAGAAATGGAATGTCTTCTTATGTATTACCAGAATCTGAGAGTAAAATTAGTTTAATTTTAAATAAATCTTCACAAAGTTCTAATAAACATACCGGGCAGCTTCTGAGTATCTCTCCAGACATCTAAACACAGCTGCTTGACGAAGATGATTTCGGAAATAGGCTGGGTTCAGAACAATGCTCCTGTAAAAGGATAAAAGAAATACAAATGTCATTATATTCCTAAAAGACAATTACCAGAAGTGTACAGGAATGTAATAACATGTATTCAATTTTCTATATCATTTTAAAAGATACTAATGAATGAGGTCCTTTCCGTGATTGGTCAGTGAAGACAAACAAGCAAGTTTTATTGGAAAACGAATTAAGGTTGCATCATAAAAGCAGCTTTGTGGCACTAAATTTCTTTTTATAGGTCTGGTAATGATAAAATATTCAAATCTAACTTACATTGTCTATAAAACATGGAGCTATTTGATTTATGCTAATTCACCAGGCAACAATCATAAGTTATTTATAGTATGTCTTCATTTCAATTTTTAAATTATTTGATTAAAAATCGTTTCCATACTAGTGTACATAGTGCATTGTGCATGGCCCAGTCCTCTCCCTCTCTCCTCCCTGCCTCCATCAGTCCTCTTTTCTTCCCCTGGACAATCTCCTTCTGTTTTCATATCATACAGTGATATGGCTACTTTTAATGAAAGAAGAGGACATGTAAACTGTAGAATTTTGGATAAAGGGAACTGTAGCTGGGGTGACAGGTCATTCGAGCATGATAATGAGGCTCTGTGGATGTGGCTCCATGGACAGAGCTCTGCACCACAGGTAAGGAGCCTAGTCTTGACTTCCCTTGGGTGGGGTCTTCCCCACTCCAGTCTTCTTTTACTCTTCTCTGCACTATGAGGCTTGACTTGCAGATGAAGTGATGGATCTGTCTTGAGACTTCTGCCTCTGCCACTTTCTCTTAAAGCTCTGGTGTCTCAGTACAAATTCAGATGAGAAGGTCACTCCTCTGTGGTCTCTTTTCCCTCAGAGATAAACTGGCAGACATTCCCTCCTTTGCTTTCTTGTGAGCTGTTAAGGCGAGGCACTGTTCAAGATATTTGACATAATGAGGAAATTAGACAGATGCAGTTCATACATCACCATCAGATGGGAATAGGAAGACAGCCATTAGTGGAGGTTTGAAATGCACCTTCTACACTTATTGATGTGGGAATTCAAATGTTGCAGAACCAACGGAGGATTACTAAGTAACACTTTGTAAGTCTGCCTACAGGCTGATGAGAAAACTTGAAATTCATTCATTATTGAAGTAAACCGTTCACTTTTGTTTGAGAGTTTCCCAGAACCGTTTGAGAATCAGATACAATCTGTAAATTAAAAAAAACATGCACACAAACATAGCTGACCAACATTAGGTAATTCATGAGACACATTCAGGGATACTCATGAGCTTGAGATTGAAAAACATAGAGATCGAAATAATTCCATTTCCAGAAACGTTGCTTATGGAAGGGAAAACGTGGAAATTGGCCTCCTCTATCAGGCCCATGAAGATTCATGAAGTTATTTGATGAGGTGGTTGGGCCCATGCCACTTTAAACACAAACAGAAATGAAATAGGTTAAGAAAACACAACCAGGTGAGGAGCTGTTTCAAGTGGGTTTCTACCTTTAGTCACAGCTGCTCCTATGTCAGCTTTTCAGTCCGAGGGGGTCTCAGTTAACAAAGTTGGGTTGTGCTCTGAGTATTGATTTATGAAAATGATTATTTATTCTCTAGAGACTATAAATTACTTGCTTTAGTGAGTTCTCACTAAAATGTTGGAAATATAAAAGCTTATAAGGTTCATTTGATACCAAGGCAAAACTACTAATAAATGTATAGCATGAATATTGTTATTTGTTCAGAAATAATATATTTATAAAACAGGTTTACATATTTTGTTCCTGTGGAAAAAATCTTATAAAAGCAAGTCAGAGTCTTTTATGTATAGAATCATATGGGGATAATCAACTGCTTTCTAATTGGAGTTAAGGTTCATGTCACAAGATGGAGCACATACCTGACACTATTATCAGGGCCAAAAACTGTGGCTAGACAGGTCACAGACCACACGGGAGAACCCACTACTATTATTCTACTAAGTGGACATGGCATTAAACTGACTCCTAATAACCTATTGCTATACCCATAGATTAGTACATCTCTCAACTCTCACCAGAGAAGCATCTTCTTGTAATAGATGACGATTAACACAGAGACTCACATTGGTCAATATGCAGAGAATAAGAGATTGAAGAGTGTTAAGCTCTAAATAGGACACCTAGAGTATACCCTCTCTTCCACGGCTCAGGGATCATTGTGGAAGAGGGGATAGAAAGATTGTAGGAGCCAGAGGTGTTGGATGAATCCTAGGAAAAAGTATTGTCTGGATACAACAGGACAGTTACATGTTTGACTCCACAATGCTTGTGACAGCTTGTACAAGACCTGTACAAACTCAAACCAGACAAAATCCTAGCAGGGAGGACAAGGTAGGCAAGAGGACCCAGCCCTAGCTGAGGAACTACTGGCTTTGAAAGTTTCTGGGAGATGGAGAGTCAGTTTTCTTCAAGGGTGTGATGCCTTGTAGGTTGACCAGGCTCCAGGGAATGGACCCATACCCAAGCGTATTTGGGGAACACAAATTAGACTCAACAGGCCTTAAATAATAGAGTATATGAAGTGTGGGGGTGTATTTGAAAGGATATGGAGGAGGGAGGTCTGAGTATGCTAAAATATACTGTTTGAAATTCTCAAAGGATCAATTATATATATATCAATTATATATGTGTTATATATAAAAAACCAGGGCTGGAGAGATTGCTCAGTGGTTAAGAGCACTTGATGTTCTTCCAGAGGGTCTGCGTTTGGTTCACAGCATCTGCATGGTGACTCACAACCATCTATACCTCTAGTTATGGGGTATCCAATACCCTCTTCTGGTCTCTGCAGGAAACAGGTGCACATGCAAACAGGCAGACAAGACACCTATCCACAATATTTTTTAAAGCAAGCTAGAGTAGTTAAGAGCAGAATTCTGTCTCAGGCCTGTGTTTTCTGAATCTGACCAGAATCTTTTCTTGCATATCCTAGCTAAACCATTCTTTCAATTGTGCCTATGTAGCAAGCATCTTCAGATATGATGGGGCAGAGTTTTAAAGAGTGCATGCTACTGCCCATGGTGGGGTTTTCTGTCCCTGATAAACTGTTTTCTAAGAGTCATGCTCTGCCAGACAAGTTCTTTCGATAAAAATAGATTAGGTTGAAGGATGGAGGGCTGTGAGCCAGAGCAGTGATGAAGGAAAGTTTAATGAAAAGGGGGGGAGGATGTACAGGATGCATTAAAGTGGCTTTCAATTGTAGAGAGAGGAGTGAAGAGAGACACTATGGGAAATTTTTTTTATTTATTATTTTTATTTTATATGTGTGAATGTATTGCCTGCATATATGTAAGTACGTCTGTGATCTGTGCTGTGCAATGCCTATGGAGGTCAGAAGAGGGCGTCGGAGCCCCTGGAACTGGAGTTATAGATAGTTGTTAGTCGCCATGTGGCTTCTGGGAATTGATGCTGGGTCACTGAGCCATCTCTCCAGCCCTTGGAAATATTTTTATTATAATTAAAAAAGATAAAGCTTTAAAAATTACTTGTCATTATGAACCTTCTATGCCTCTGAAGAAATGCTAGTGTCAGACTTGGCTGTACTACCAGACTAACCATAACATTACCCTCCCTGAACCATCCATGTGAGTCCCTACTTGAAAGAGGGACCCCTAAAAATCAAGACCCACTCTCTACCATGAAGGTGGAATCATAAAGGGAAAATTATAAATGTTGGAAAAGATGTTATGTCTGGTCACCCCACTATTTTTTTACTCTCTTGTAATTATTGCATCATTCGCTGTGAGCCTGTAACTTGCTCCTGTTAGATATTTGGCAGGCAAATGCTGGTGGTGGTTGGAAAGACTTAGTTTTCACACTTTTATTAATTTATTGGTGTTTTCTAAAATGACATATCCTTTTGAAGATCTATTTTCGTTTGTGTGTAACTCGTAGTTGGAATGAAGATTTGCTCCTTAAGAAGTTTCCTTGTCATTTTATACCATTTACAGAGGCAGGAGGCTATGATCAAATGGACCATCTCACCAGTGCTGCAGTGAGGAGACTGTAATTGTAATCAGAAAGGCCTCTGTACTGATTAGTCTGATTTTTATCACAGAGGAAATAACTCTGATTTAACTATGCTGATAGGGCTTCTGGTAAAAAGGAAGAACCATGTTAGAGGGAGTCACAGAGAGTCACTGAATTTGTGTTGGAAGGATGGAGGTAGTGTGAGCCACAGGCTCTGATTGCTCACTGGGTTGATCAGGTCTGTTCTGAGGAGATGGGATCGTGTAAAATCATAAATTTTGTAAGTGATAAAGCTTATTTTAAAAATCAATTTCTGACCTGTGCTTTTTATGATTTATTATGATTTCTGTTTGTGGATGCCTTGATATTTATTTCTGTACTAAAATTCACATACTTTGATGTGTGTGATTTATTTTATAAAGTTTTGAGTTTGTGAAACAGTGATGTCAGGATGAAGATCTACTTCAGAATTGCCCTCGGCTTCCCAATTAATTTGTCTACTAGTTAATCCTTGTCTTTGTGGTGGGCTTTGCTACCTTTGCCATATGCTGAGTTCACTGACACACCTGCGTCCGTGGTTGGACATTATAGTTCCATATCTTTGTCTTTTTCTGTGATGGAAGCTGTCATAATTATTGCTAGTTTAGAATATGTTTCAGTTTCAGAAAGGGAAAGAACTAGTGTCTTCTTTGTGACGAGATTTGCTAGCTACTATGACATATCTATTTCCTTTTTTAAAAAGTTTTCAAAGTTTTATTTATTTATTTATATTTGTATGCAGGAGTATTTTGCCTGCGTGTACGTAAGTGCACCTATGATGGGAAATGCCTATGGAGGACAGAAGAGGACATCGGATCCCTTGGAACTGGAGTTTCAGATGGTTGTTAGCTGCCATGTGGGTACTGGGAACTAAACATGGGTCCCCTGCTACAGCAGTCAGTGCTCTTAACTGCTGAGCCATCTCTCCAGCCCCAATATACTTATTTCTTGATGAAATTTATA